AACGCGAGGGTGTGTTCGTCTGGAGTGAATCTTTGCAGAGCCCTGGGTATACTAAGTGGTATCCAAACGAACCACTTTCAGGCGGCAGCAGCTACGATTGTGTTTTCAGTCATCGGTCTCACGGGTGGGCATGGTTCGCCCGTGGTTGCACTCAGCATGCGTACTTTATGTGCGAACTCGAGAAACCGTAACTATACCAGTCCAATCGACTCATTTAAAATCAAGACTTTCTGGAGGTGATTTTCCACTTATTAAACGCATCATTTAATAATCTTCAATAAAATTGAAAACAAACTTTGTGTGATGGCTTTATGATAAAAATGTCACTTGAAACGTACAAAATGACGACCTATAATGGTGTGCACACAGATTACTCTACGTTAATTCACCAGTAGCGGGCGGTCCATAGCACCAAATAATTATAAATAATCCGAATCACCTTAACATTGCTGTTCTACATGACTGACCGAAAACAGTATAATGTCATCTCCTCAGTTCTTTATTATGAGACATGCAGACATAATAAGCCGTCGCGGTACATCAAAAGTTAAAATTCTCCCTAGTCAGAGCTAGTCAGTGCAGTGTGGGTTTTGCTTCGCCATCAGTTGTCATTCTAGTAAGAATGATGGTTAGTATTCATCACCAGCCTATCGCCTGCCAAGGTCGGTCGCATCGTTGATAACAATAGCTGAGTGCATCATAATGCACAGCAGGGAGCCAGGACCAAGAAGTGTTGTGCACGTTTTGACCATCGTGTGACTAGAAACGTTTACATGTTGATATTAGTGCGCAGGTGTAAAGTAGTAAGCCTGGTTTCCATATCGACGTTCAAATTACGCAGACTGCACAGACAGTACGCGGAATTAACTTGCAATCGCTATACTTGAAGCGGGACTTATTTCTCACGATTTTCCAACATCAAGACGATCTACAGTGACCGCATGTGAGCCCCCACATGTGTGCGTGTTAAAAACACTGAACTTAACTTAAGTGGCAAATCGAAACGCCTTACATGTCATTATCTTTGCCGTGGTGGCGCTATTTATGAATACCGGTACCGGTACAAACAACTGAGTGATGGAGACAGACCGGTCACTCAAGAAGAGGAAATGAACTGAGAATTCGAAGTGAAAAATACTTTGCACAAGGGATCGGGAAGACTAATTGGTTGATTTTTATGTTAGGCCAAAACAAAAAGTCTCCGGGTTCTGGTATGCGCGGGCGTCGCCGTAGCCATGTGCGTCGGCAAAATGAAAAGTTTTTTTTTTCAATGAAAGATGATGTCTCAAAACCGCCAAACTCACTGGTTTGACTGGAATCCTGCTGCTGCACAATTTTAACGTGTTTTTAGATTGGGTTATGGTCGAGAATAAGCTTTATGTGGCCTCTCTGGACTCCCATATATTTGCACTAAGTTTAGTCAGACACCATTTGCAGTCATCAGCCGACATTTAAAACAAAAAAATCAGGTAAAAAAAAAAAAAGCCGCTTCGCCGCACAACTTTTTGGGCAAGCTCCAAACCAGAAACCGGAGACTTTTTTTGGGCCTTAGCGATATCATATTGAGCGATATTATATGACGGAAATCTGTCTAACCACCTTATAGAAATATTGGAGTATTTTCAAAAATGGGAAAGTGGTATTGTGCTCAGGTTGGAGGTGGTACCCAGTACCCGTAAACACTCGAGATATCGTTTCAAAAGACCTGGATGAACCATTGGATATACAAACTGTCCGTCATATGATCATACGCTCCATCGTAATAATAATGGAATGAACCGATCCAGTAAGCTCCGCCAAGTGCGCAAGTGGGCAAATTAACACGCGCTCCTCTCCACTGCCACGCTGCATTTTCCTGCCGCGCGCATCATACGCGCGTGCACGCATGTCGGACTTTAGTGCACGCACGTCGGACATAGATGACGGCTGTGATTGGTCAGAACACCATGGGGCGGTGCTTACTGGATCGGTCCATTATTGACCAATGCACGGTCATATAAATGGAATGTTTCCTTTCACATTTTGTGTGACGTAAAAGCACATTTGGGGGGTTTTTTTCACAAGAAATAATACGTAAAATCAGTAACATTGGTCTGACAAAGGGGGCGTGTTACGCTCTTTCTGTTGTCTTTCTTTTCACGATGTAATTTGTCAAACACTGATAATATTGAAACAGGTATTGCCCACTAAAACTGAAGAAAATGTAAATTTTCAATTTTCGCTTTGTATTATCGCTTATAACATGATGAAACACAGTTTGTGATTCTATTAGTTATTATGTCGTTTGTTTCGTTATAAATGGCAATTTGCAGAATTATTCTGAAAACACTTTAAGTAGAAAAAGTAGGAATTTTACCCATTTTAAGGGAAATTTATCGTGATTGATATTTCAGTATATAAAAAATCGTTTGCAATGAAATAACAAGAAGGAAAAAGTATATTATAATTAACTACGTGAGATTGTTGCATTCAGTGAAGCCGGATTGAGAGGGTTTTTTTTACTAATTCAAGTAGTTTGTAACGACTGCGTAAAGAAACATAATTTATTTAATCGGTTTTTTTTGCAGTTGACAGATATTCTAAAATGCGTACTCAAAAGTAAATATAAATATTGGCCAAAAAAAATTTAAAAAGTGGATGTACAGACGATTCATATATAGCGACAACACAGATCAGGTCAGTTTGCAATGTCGTAAAAGTGCATGTTTCACCGATTGCATTGTGAATATCTGAAACACCAAGGGCATGGCAAGGTCATTTTATTGGGGGAAAATTTCCTGAAAAAAGGCACTTGCACTGCACATCCGTGCTGAATTATAGACACCTTTTTTTCTCCGGACACTTTGCCTCCGTAAAATTAAATAGAGGGGGGGGAGGGCGGGGGGGGGGGGGCTGATACCATCTATCCATGGCACGACCGATGACACAAAAATTGGAACAACATTTTTTGTTTGTTAAAGGGTACTTGTTCAGAAAAAAATAATGACACCATTTACAAATATGGGGCGGGGGTAAGCGTTGTTGCAAAAAAGGGCATTTAAATGGAAAAGGGCATCTTTACAACATATTGGGGGAAATAACCCTTACCCACCCCCACCCCCCTTCGGCTGGCTACGCCTATGAACATTCGTTACATTGCTAAATATTTTCAGATTTGACAAGTGAAACTGTGTTGTGTATTTTAAAAAAGGGCTTAGTTTGGCATTTTACCCATTTTAAGGGACATTTATAATCTATATTTTCAGTGTTGATCACACGATTGAAAGTTGAAGTGAATTATATATTCAAGTAGAGGGCGTAGTTTGAAGACATTTTACCCATTTTAAGGGACATTTATTATATTTGACATTTTCAGAGTTTATCATAATTTCAAGATTGAAGGTTGAAATGTGCTATGTTTTCAAGGAGACAGCGTAGTTTAGAGACATTTTACCCAATTGAAGGGACATTTATAATCTATATTTTCAGTGTTGATCACAAGATTGAAAGTTAAAGTGAATTATGTATTCAAGTAGAGGGCGTAGTTTGAAGACATTTTACCCATTTTAAGGGACATTTATTATATTTGATATTTTCAGAGTTTATCATAATTTCAAGATTGAAGGTTGAAATGTACTGTGTTTTCAAGGAGACAGCGTAGTTTAGAGACATTTACCCAATTGAAGGGACATTTATTATGTGTTACGTTTTCGGTGTTTATCATAATTTCAAGTGACAGATAACATGTGCTCGATAATCAATGGAATTTTAAACAAGTTGCACAAGCACTTAAGTAAAATTGAAAGAAAAAAATCATAGTTAGCACAGCTCGTTAAAATTTGCTTCAATTTGGTAAATTACATTCAAAAAGACAATTTAATGTCTGGTTTCAGGTAAAAAAGAAATAGTGTTAGGTCAATAAATAGGTAATGTTGATGATTGAAAATAATCAACGTTTAAAGAGTTTGGAGATATTCGAATGTTTAATGGAAAGGTGCTACCATGGGCGTCGCCGGGATTTTTTCGGGGGGGGGGCAAAGCAAATTTTCCCCTCAATTTATCCGTGCATTTTTCCCAGCGTATTCTCGATTTTTCATTTTTCGAGGGGGCCGCGAAATGTCCTCCCCCACCCATCCACCCCCACCCCTTTAACCAACAGCAATATTACCCCACACCTACCTTTTCTTCCTTTTTTTCTACTTTTTTGACCCCCCCCCCCCCCACGCCCATGGGTACTTCACCTATAAGAACGAACGATAAGTGACTATGCCATGATTTTTTAAGTTACTATCACAAATACATATTTCCTTTTTTGTATTATGACCTGTTTTCCCTGATTAACATATCTCCTAAACAGCCATATAGGAGGGCAGTGTTTGTGGTCTGCCAAGGTATGAGCTACCATATCCATGTATCTTGAATACACATTCGGCCGGATTCACTCCATTATTTATTGGCGTAACGATACAATCCTGCTTTGTCAGTCAGTCAATCCGTCAGTAAGAAAGGTACAAGGAGCTAGAAGACAGTAAGATGGCCCCCTGGTACCAGCAGGAAGATGTTACAGAAAATCTTGATGTTCTTCTTAAAAAAAAACAATATTGGTCCAAATTCCCAAGGTTAATCTCAACAGTCTAAGATTTATCGCCCAATATCGCTCCGAAGCACATTCCAATTTTCGAAAACTATTTCTAGAATTAAAGGAAACGTGTAATGACTTGTAATGACAAAACACACACCCATTTTTTGGCAATCTTTGACCCCCTTTTGTCCCCTATCCTCATTTATTGTGTTAATGCTATAACTTTTCAGCAACTGCTTTCAATGGTTTTGTATACAAATTTTAATCGTGGACTATCAGACAATTGTGGACGTATTGTTTTGTGCCTTAAACCCGGCCTTTTGTCCTACGCCCACGATTGCCGGTGTTTACATACCCAATAACTCTTGCAGTACACGGCACTCTTGATCTGAACACTGAACGGAAATATAAAATAATGTAGCAAGGACTGAAAAACAAATTTCATTCCACAGTTTATTATTTCAAAATTAGTGATCGGTGATATAAAAAGCTACACGTAAATAGTAACCCAACAGAGACGAATGAGACCCAGTCGCAAACAAATACATGTAGTGCATTCCAATGTGGTTTTGTAGCATAGGTAATGAATCACAAAATGACTGCATTTTCCAGCTGTTAGAGGCTTTCAAACTGTCAAAAAAATGTACCATATCGAAACGACATAAATAACAACAGAGTGTGACGGAATATAATAAAAGAAAAAAAATATTTCAAACTTTCATAATTATTAATACGGATTGTTACTCAAGTTGTACTACTCTGCTGTACGTCGGTATTTCTTCTTTCGACAAGAATGTAGTCCAGTCCATTACAAGTCCCGCACGTCCATCACAAGTCCTTCAATCCAAATTCAACTCACAAGCTATTCAAATGAGCTTTGACAAAGGCATTCCTTTATTTGTTACTGGTCATCATGCATCCAGTGTGTTTTGTGACTTGACTTGCATTTTCGTGAATGGCTCATGAATTACTTGTGATTGAACTTATGATGGACTTGTGATTGACTACTTTCGACAACTACAAACACTAAGAATGCAGTAGAAAGTGCGAAGGGTTTATCGAGACCTATAGCCTCGTCTCCACCTTCGGGAGATTTCTTCAAGGTCACCGGATTAGAAGACTCTGACTCATTATTGGTATAATATTTTATTCATGTAAACAATAATATCCAATAATATGAAGCTGAAGTTTAGAGAATTTCTACTCGTTTTCGACAACAAAGCATCAAAAAATAATTATTCTTGAACCACCAACGAAGTCGACGGTGTTGAGGGCGCTGTTGCAAAATGTCAAATAGGGCCCAGCACTGACTTGACAAACTGTCGTTGTTCAGCAGGTATGGCCGACATAATAGGAGGGCGCTGTTGATTTGGGTAAAGTCTTTTCATAGACAGTCTTTTTGTACTTACCAAAACCAAATAGCGCCATCTGCTGTCGGCCATATCTCAAATAGGCTAATTGCGATGTAAGAACTGACGATTCTATTTTGATCTTTTAGTTAGCCTTATAGTTTTATTTTCCAATCAGCTTCTTCAAAATTAGAGTAGACTTTCCACGCGTGTCAACATTCTTAGAGTTATATCTCCATAATATTATTAATGCGCCCTCATTCGGCCGATTAGATTGTTCGTATATCAGAGCAAATAATAAACATACACATTGGTTCACGGGGCACATACTTTAAAATGGCTTTCAATTCAGTTTCAATTCAATATCTTGCAGAATTAATTACATCAAACGTTACAAATGTGTGACTGCTGCCACAAAGTGACCACAAAGCTGGACTTTTGAAGATATGTATATTTCTCGATGCTGCAAAACAAGAGCTTTCTAATAATAAAAACAACATTAAGGGGTACTGAGTTCAGTAGTGTAATATAAACTGCCAACTAATTTGAAGTTTTAAAAGTATTTTTGGAGAAAATGGCATTTAAAAAATCCCGCTTTTGTACTACACTGAATTGATTTTCATCTGTAAACCACAAATCGACACCACTTTCAATTTTGGCTTTGCCCCGCTGTTTTTGAAATTACAATTTCGGACTTTAAGCTACTTTTGTGGTGACAGGTTACACACGGAATTATGTTACTGGCAGCAAATTGCTGCTTGTTGAACAATAAAACAGACTTAAAACACGAATACCAATAATGTTAAAAGTTAAAATTACACACAACTTGACTGCAACCATCAGAAGGTGTTTCGACTGCGTTGCGAGGAAACAGACGTTGACACTATCTGAAAGGAACGCTGCCCTTGTAACCTCTTTGACGAGCTGCAAAGGAAAAGAAAAAAAGATAATAACTCACTCAGTTTGATTCGAAAATGACAAAGTTACGACTTTAAGCTATAGTCCATCATTTGCAGCTATCCGAAAAGTAACTGGCGTAATTATTGTTGAAAAAACATACTTAGTTGAAAGATAGTAAGGGAACTAAACTCCCTGTGAAATTATTCTTTCTGGGAAGCTGTCATTTTGAAGTAATCAACGAAAGAAGGCATTTCCAACGGTGATTCTTAAGAAGCACCGTAGGAAAATTTAAATTAGTAGTTCGTTTTGTTATTCAGCGCAGCGCGCGCAAGTATTGGAACGACGCACACGCGCGCGCGGTTGTTATAATTCGTCGGATCAGTGCGCGACGTCGCGTATAGCTGCAATTCAAAACATGATTCAGTAACTTTTGATTTGAAATTGAGATCTTAGAATGCTGGTTTTTCTCGGAATGTACAGCTGAAGCTTAGCTGAAACTTCATCAGGTTAGTTGTTAAGTATCCTTCATTAGAGTTTGAACTCTTTTGTTGCTTCAAACGAACAAAATGCACAAATTACAAATGATGGACTATAGCTTTAAATTAAAAAACTATAAGGACCATTGGCATTGAAAGCCCGAACAAGGTGAACTGAAAAGACGCGAGAGCAAATCACGGGGCACGGTATAGACCTTTGTCATGCTACCACCATCTTCAGTCATGTTCCCTGTATCCAATAACATTGTCTAAATGATAATGGTTTTTGTGCAAAAAGGAACCATACAGCCTTGCTATGGTTACGTTGATTTGAATGGGGGAAAATCAAGATGGCCGCCACATGATAATGTCTTATTGACCTTTATGCACGAGGTCCGAGGTTTACATCCAATCCTTGCCAGCGCAAACCTCAAGGCACGCTGATGACATTTAGGCATGACATTTTGTCTCGTTAGGTTGCAGACCAGTGAATAATGTATTTATCTTAATAAAGGGTTATGTGGCCTCTGCACTTCAATTTGTATTGCAATTAAGGGTCGTAGCTCAGCAGCAGTCTTTGATTTTGCATTTCTGAGAAAATTGGGTGAAATTTGAAGGCAAAACCCTCCATTTTGCATTGGAGTGGAGGAAGCGTTATGTTTGAAATCGGCGATAGAATTTATGACTGCTTTATGGGTGATCATCCAATTTAGGGAATATTCACCCAATCGTCATCAGTTAACAACCCCAACAAAATTGAACGGAAAGTAAAAGAGGGAAATCAATCTTCTATGTTTTGAACACAAGAGTAATTGTGAGCATTTTCGCTATTTCAGAAGTTGTGTTGTGCATCAATGGTGTCTATTGGAAGTTATATACTGGTCTACATCAAATTGCAGCGACATGAGTTAGTGGCTGTTGATAACGAACGAGCTTTGCGTCGTACAATATACAAATATTAAATGCTTCGAGTGGTGTAGTAAAACTAGCCTCCCGAGGTGATCCATGGACATTCTATTTTCCCAAGGCGAAGCCGAGGGCAAATAGAATGCTCCATGGATCACCGAGGGAGGCTAGTTTTACTTCACCACGAGATAAAGCATTCAATATTTGTTTTATAACACTTCACCCACAGATTCTGCTTGGTTATAATATTTTTAATTATTTAAATCTGAACACAGTTGAAATAAACTTCAATTTCAATACAAAATCGGTGGAAAATGTATTTCTCTCTTCCAAACTACCCCTTCGCGAAATGTTTGAACCCAACTACTCTGTGGCGCGCTCTCTTTGGAACAAAACGCGCTGCGTGCAACGCGCAACGCGCACACCAGCATGCATTTGCACACAAATGCCGCGCCGTGGAAATAGTACTTTGGTTGCTAATGATATAGTACTTTGGTTGCTACGGGTATAGTACTTTTGGCCGTGCACAGAGAGATAGCAAAAATACAAAGTATCATGTGACTCGCTCTCGGCCAATCAAGACAAAGAATCTGCGGGTGAGGTGTTATAATACTTACACATGCAGTAGTATCTCTCCTCTTCGAACTTCCCGTACTTGTTGTCACATCGGCACAGGACGTTCGTCAGCCAATGGCGGCATCCTGAGATGGAAACAAAACAGTGCAGAATGCTCAGGTTTCTAACAACTAAAAAGAAACTGAATCCTATTTCTCTGTACTAATTTGTACACCAGAGTTGAGGTTTATGCAAGTCTAAATCGCAAGTCACAGTCAGTCAGTGAGTGAGTTGGGTACATAGAGGGCAAAGGGTTTCCGTGCACAAGTACCCCCTCAACGGTAAGTAAGGGAGAGTCGGGGAAGACCACTTGGTGAGCCAATCGCACGCATTGCTGAAGACCGTCACGCAAAGACGCCATGGCCTTGTGCACATTTAGAATAAAGTTATAAATAAAGACTAATAGTCGTGCGTACTTCGCGCTTTACGCATGCAAGGCAGTCCCGTTCGTAAACAAGTGGGTAAAAAAGGCGCCCTCTCTTGTTCGCGCACGTCAAAAATCCATATTTATATTACTTGACCGTTTTGTCGACCTCTGCTTGTGTAGCAACACATATACTTTAGACTAGCAGGTTGCGAGAAAGACGGGAATTTGTTTGTTTTTTGTTTTGTTTTTCTTGGAAATATTTCCCCCAAAAAAATGAGGACGGACGCGTGATGGCGCTGTTCATTGAGGCCATGTGGTCGGCTTTTAAATAAGAATCTTTCCGAGCTTTGTCCTTTATTTAAATGTAAAGCAATCGCTTAGGGTGAATGTCAAAGATTCGATATCCAAATGCTGAACAAAATGAAAGAACATCTTTCTTCTAGTTTTCCATTCACGTGCTCAAAATAAACTTCAACTGATTTACATAATATCAATCATTAACAGAGCACCATACGCGGCGCGGGTTCTTTGAAGAGAAGTAGAGTAATAAAATGACATTCGTTCCATTAAAACATATTTCAGGGGAAACCATTCAATTAATTTAAAAAGAATCAACTCGGCTTTAGAGCGGCACTTTCAGGTGTAAAGTCAATCGCCTCGGCCCATTACAAAGTCATCAATCATCGTGAACGAATTAAGCTACCGGCTCGACAACGGATCTGTCACCGGTAACAACGTACGAGTAATAGCTAGGTGGACTGAAGGTGGATCATGCCGCTCGAAACCGGCTCAATTTTTGCAGGGAAGCTATTTCCTGTTAGAATAAGGCCTAATGGGCAACTGTGAAAACTAGGGCTGATGAGAGCTCTCTCCATTAAGTGTATTTCGGGGAATGAATCAAATCAACACAGTGAAAAATTATTGCCGTCTGTTCAGAGATTGAGTGAGGACAAAGCAATTACACGGGAACAGCCTTCGGCTAAAACGAAAACTAGATTCTGGAATGATAAATTTTTTTGTTGGAGCCGAGAAATTAAATATTTTCGGTTTTGGGTTTGCCTTGAATTAGAGATTGAGATGTTTTATTTCAATGTATTTGACAATCTGACAAAATATAATAAAAAAATCATAAAGAAGAGATGGATAAACTATGAATTTCGTAGTTCTGTTAATGAAAGTGTTTGGGATTAGTTGGATTCAAAATTATATGAAATTAATTTTCAGTTTTAATGTGTTTTTTTGTTTTTCATTACCAAAAGATATAAATGCAGTGCCAAGATCTGCCGATTGTTGTTCAGTTTTTTTCTTCAGTGAGCCCGTAGCAATAAGACTGAGACAGTATAAGGCCTTAACAGGCAGAACTTATTAGCTCACAAATTAGCGACCCACCGAATTTTATTACATGCACATGCTGGTGCAAGTGAGGTCTGAAATTTGGACTCTACAAAATACGGAAACCTTGGTTGCACTGCGCAGGCCTAGGTGATGATAATTAGGACAGTGACAGGTCACGTGTGAGGGTTAGAATCCTTATAAGGTAAAAGAGACCAGATTTCATATGAGTCTGAATTTCATATGACACCGGGATAACAGCGGCGCACCAAGGATTTGGCTTTGGAGGGGGCTCACAATTTTTATTTAATTCGTTTAAGTTTAAATTTTTCAAAAAATGTTGCCCTTTTTGGGGGGGTTGGGGGTTGGGGGCGGACTTTCTTTTTGACGTTGGTGGCGCCACTTCCAACCCTATTATACTACTCGAATATATGCCACATACATATCACCAAGCGCAAATCGTGTTACAAAAAAGCAAAAAAAAACAAAAAAAATGACAACCTCTTTTGGGGAAGCTCAAGCCCCCCAAGCCCCCCCCCCCCCCCACACACACACACACCCTTGGTTGCGCCACGTATTCGAGTAAAGATTTACAGAGTGAGTCAGAATGATCTGTGCTGGAATTTACTACCTTAAGGAGACATGCACACAATAGGAAACAAAAGATTGTATACGTCTCCGCAAGAACATTTCTATAGATGAATACGTCTCCACAAGAATTTCACGAAATAGATATATGGATTTTACTCATAAACTAGGAATTTCCAAGGTAGGTTGATCCGTCGCAAATGGAAGAGTTTTAGAAAAGGGATATTTAGTCCAAATTTCAGCCCAGGAAATTAATTCTGGTTAAAATAAGAGCATTTTGAAACTTTAATTTCAAACACGAAAACTTTACTACACGAGAACAAAGAAATGTCTCCACAGGAATACAAATTCCAGAATCGGTGGACCCAAATTAATGCAGTACGCAATTTCAATAAATATGTTTAACCATGGAACCGTGGTCAGAGTGTTTTTCAGCGTGAGTTCCAGTGCTTTTATTCAAAATGGTACAACGGATATACGTGAAACGTTCACCAAATATGTCCAAAGTACCAGCCTATAACATATCTTATTTGTACTTGTTTTATGCACTGCACTAATTTGGCTCCAGACATTCTGATTCTACTACCAACGACTGAAACTTTAGTGACCAGACGTTTCAGAGTGAAATTCGTTCAATCGAAAAGATCGAGTTTTCACTCCAGATTCCACGGGATTGAACTTTCTTCCAGAGTCTTTTATTCTAAACCTAGAATGTTTTTCACTCTAAATTGTCTGCTCCTTAGTTTCACTCTTTGTAAATAAGAGAGTTTGTTTGTTTGTTTGTTTGTTTGTTTTAATATTATAGCTTTGTAAACTTACTTGGGAACGACCTTTTGTCCATCTCCATGAGTTCTTCGTATCTATCGTTGTCCCGTTTCTCCATCTCTTGCTCCAAAGCTTCAAAATCCAGATCGTCGTCGAGCTCGTAGAAGGCGGTTGCTAACGAGAATACCATGGCAACGGCGAGGAGTATGAGGAGTGCCCTGGACGCCATGTTGAATATTGCTTGATTTCTGAAAATGTAACCAGAAACAAATTGTCCTCGTTCATTTATGGGGAATATATCGATATTTTAAATATGGTAGTTATTAAGACAAACATATAGTATGCAGAAATATATAGTATGCGCATTAATGTGATAAACATAAATAAAGGTTGACTTTTTGGAAACCAAATTCTGCAAAATTCATAGCAAGCAAAAATTGTATAAAAGCATCTACTGCTTGTGAAACTCTGCCGCTCACAGCAATCCGACATCGACATATTCCACCACCCTGTATAGCTACAATCCCGGCCAAAATGGTTGGGAAACGTCACAATATGCATCCCCCAGTCTCCCGCTCCCCTGGTCCACGCCCTCCCTCTCCACATCTAATACAGGGTACATACATTCAGACAATCCCGGCCAAAATGGTTGGGACACGTCCAGACAATGAGTATACCCTCCCCCGGTCCCCCGGTCCCCTGGTCCCCTGGTCACCCCGCTCCCCCGGTCAATGTTGTTATCTCGCGCTTGAGCACAGACCGCACAATGAGCGATAACAATTGCCGGGGGCCGGGGGTGATGGCCCAGCGAGTTTTGGCCAGGATTGTAGCTTTAAAGCTATAGTCCATCATTTGCAGCTATCCGAAAAGTAACTGGCGTAATTATTTTTGAAAAACATACTTGGTTGAAAGATAATAAGGGGACTAAACGCCCTGTGAAATTATTCTTTCTGGCAAGCTGTCCTTTTGAAGTAATCAACGAAAGAAGGCCTTTCCAACGGTGCTTCTTAAGACGCACCGTAGGAAAATTTAAGTTAGTAGTTCGTTTTGTTATTCGGCGAAGCGCGCGCAAGCATTGGCACGACGCACACGCGCGCGCAGTTGCTATAATTCGTCGGATCAGTGCGCGACATCGCGTAACTGCAGTCGGCTCAGTGTGAACGCGTCTCGGACGCTGAATTCAGGCCCAATTCAAAACATGATTCAGCAACTTTTGATTTGAAATTGAGATCCTAGAATGCTGTTTTTCTCGGAATATACAGCTGAAGCTAAGCTGAAACTTCATCAGGTTAGTTGTTCAATACCCTTCTTTAGATTTTGAGCACTTTTGTTGCTTCAAACGAACAAAATGCACAAATTACAAATGATGGACTATAGCTTTAAGTCATCGATCATCAATCCCCACAGTGTTCTCTTTCAGTAATCGTTGAGCTTAATCTTGCCCTGCAGCCCGTCATTTTGCCTCTTGGTCTTGATTACTAATACTTTCCCTTGTGATATTTTTAGCTTCATTCGATCTGTTTGTTAATATATTTGTTGATTACTTTTGTATTGTTTGATTTTAATTTATCCATCCTTTTATTGGCGCTTTCGATGTAGCTGTTGTACTAAAGAAATATCGTATCTCGGCAAGAGGTCAGTCATGTACTCACCAACTGCTTTCACCCCATCCCACTTTAGCATATATCACTATTTTTATTCGATTAACGAAGATGACCCAAGAACCCTTGAAATGTAATTCAATTAAAAAAAAAAAAAAAAAAGAATCAAATTTAGGACTGTTTCATTCTGAGTTTACATTTAAATTCATAACTTGCATTACACGGCACAATAAACGAAATTCCTCCTGGGACTATTCGCATGAAAAGAGCGATTTCTATTTTGAAATTATTTGTCTTTGTGACAGCGAGACATAAACTAGGAACGTCAGTGGTAGCTGTGGGATGAAAACCATTGGGAATTTATTCAAACCGGGAAAATATCGAAATCAATTTAGTTAATGCTTCAGGTATAACTCATCGTCTGTATCCTCGATTTCGTCTTAGTTTCATCTGTAGGCCTATCCATTGGGTCCGTAAACCTGGATCGCTGTTACGTTTATAACAAAAGCCACTTCATCTTTTGACAATTTTGCACTGCGTCTTTTGATTGGTGTGACAATCGTGTCCCATGGGTACGCGCCGCGGGCGGGAACGATCGCTTCGCCGCCCACCGCCTGACAAGACAACAAATTGGGGATGTTTCGATGATCCATCAAATTTGCTGGCGTGATGATTAGACGTAGACTGGCTTCACCAGTCCCTGGGCGATTTATGACTGGAAACTCATGGGAAATATGGCTCGATACCTGTCCAGCTTGACAAGTGATTCATTGTTATCATTTATATTATGTTAACCATGGAAATTGATGTGAAGTTTTAATATCAATCTATGAGATTTTGTTGCAAATTCTGTTTTACGAAGTTGTCTTTCATTACTGTTATTATCTCAGGTACTTTCTAGCCTTTACTTTTACAAGGCGTATACTTAAATTGTACAAGATTTTCCAAATACTCTTTGGCATATCTTACCACATAAGATGAGATGTGACAAAGAATTTTTAAAAAAACTGTACTACAGGTTTTTTTTTTCAATATTGAAATGGCATAGTGGAGCATTATCATAATTGAGAGGCACTGCCGAATAAAACGAAATTCCCTGTAGGTCTCTGCCCGGTATTATTACATAGAACAATTCATTTCATACCGTGCAGCCTTCAGCAATTACTTCAAGTATGCCATGGTACTTCGTCAAGGAGTTCCTTTCCATGATCCAAATCACTTGTTCATGGCAGTGATGCAAGGATTCTCTGGTAATCTGCTTAAGAGCTTACTACCTGTCATATCACGTTCTTTTCCCTCGTGTCCAATGGTTTAATATCTAGATTGCATTGCCGCATCATAAAATCTGTTGACCTGGAATCTCTGAGCAATGTGTGTGATGCTTAAAGGTACAGTCCATCATTTGTAATTTTTGCATTTTGTTCGTGAAGCAACAAACGTGCTCAAAATCTATAGAAGGGTGCTGAACAACTAACCTGATGAACTTTCAGCTCAGCTTCAGCTGTATATTCCGAGAAAAACAGCATTCTAGGATCTCAATTTCAAATCAAAAGTTGCTGAATCATGTTTTGAATTGGGCCTGAATTCAGCGTCCGAGACGCGTTCTCACTGAGCCGACTGCAGTTACGCGATGTCGCGCACTGATCCGACGAATTATAGCAACCGCGCGCGCGTGTGCGTCGTGTCAACGCTTGCATATAAAAAACGAACTAACAGAAATTTTCAACGTTCGTTTATTTCTTCAAAATGACAGCATGCCAGAGAGAATAATTTCACAGGGAGTTTAGTCCCCTTACTATCTTTCAACCAAAGTATGTTTATCAACAATAATTACGTCAGTTACTTTATGGATAGCTGCAAATGATGGACTGTAGCTTTAAAGGCAATAAGAATTAAAGTGGTATAATAACCCGAAAACGGACCTTCCTTGCCGCTTTAATGCGAAAGCGAACTTGCTCAAGGTACAGAAACGACAGGTACCATAATACCTGAGGAAATTGTTTTGTCTGAAATTATATCATGTGGAAGAAATCAATCCTGGGAAGGTGGTTTCAAAAACGTGTGGCCGCGTCACATATTGGACACTTTCGAACATTTGACATTTGTCATAGTTACTGTGAAGATTGCCAATCAAGTGGGACTTGGAAGTCCGGTACACCAACCGGTTAAATACAATTATGCTCAGGGTACCGATTTGAGGACTGTACCCACGACAGGGTGTAATCCAAATTATTAAACGGCAAAATTTGAGTCAGGAGTGCTAGCAACAGAATTCGCTTACACAAGACCAAAGGTGCGTTCATGCTTTCTCTGTCTTCTTAACCCGGGTTATTTTGACCATCTCTCAGCCGTGATTCCGCCCCCCCCCCCCTAAGATCTCGGCCATCGAGTGACGTAAATTGTGTTGTGTTCTGTGTACACGACGTATGTGGGAAAGTTCAGTTTTCACGGCGCTTAGCGCCGGAACAATTTTGGTCTGATTTTTATGTTTTTGGTATCAAAAGTTGCGCAAGGCTCGAGGCTAAAAAGCCGTAACAGCTCGGGTCGCAAAAAAAAAATCAAGGCTATCGCGGACAAGTTGAGGGGAGGGGGCAGATTCCGCCCCCGGCCCTTTTATGGTTAAAATGAACAATTTCCAACACACGACATATCCATTCGAAAACAGCGAAAATGTTATGAAGCTTTTAAGAATATTAACAGTATAACAGCTTTTTCTCAACCCTTTTTTTTGTTTTTATTGTATTCCTAAGTTATGTTCAATTATATAACAGCCGATAAAATTAATTTTGGGCAGCCAGGAGAATGCAGGATGCGTGTTATTAATTCTGCATTCTACATATGATTTTCAACAATGTTGTTGCTCAAAACGAAAACAATCCACAAAAGCAAACGATCCTAGGTATATCATTCAAATAAGTTGCAGCAGAATAAATTGGCTCTCGGAACCGGAAAGGTACAACTATTAAATGACATTTCAGCAAATAACCTAACAGCTTCTTCATTTTCATGTTTGACCCTAAAAAGGCCGGGGGAATCCGCCTTCCCCCCTCAAATTTTTCCCGCGATAGCCTTGAAAAAAATCGTTTTGCGACCCGAGCTGTAATGACTTTTTAGCCTCGAGCCTTGCGCATATTTTGATACCAAAAACATACAAATAGGACCATAAAAAATTTCCGGCGCTACGCGCCATGAAACTCAGCTTTCCATATACGTAGTGTACACAGAGCACAATTACCATTCGTGAATATGAATAAATAATTAGCCATAATTCCAAAGCCCTTTGACCTATAGTCATGAAATTTCTTGGGTATGTTTATGATGAGTTGCTCTATGCATGTACCGAGATTCAAAAAAATTCGTCACTCGATGGCCGAGATCTTAGGCCCCCCCCCCCCCGGCTGAGAGATGGTCAAAATAACCCCGCCCTTTTAGGATTAATGAGATTCAAGACAAGCAGAGTTGTTGTTGTAAGTTATCGCAAGTCAACACAAGGCAATCACTGACTGTCTTTGACGAGTCAATCAGAACTTTCAGAAGTCAATCATGAGCTAACTTACGAAGATTAACTATGACAAAGCAACGCTTTGTTACGGCCAGTTATCAATAGCTTTCCACACGGCTTGGGACTTTTATGAAAACTTGCCTACAAAGTGTTGTAAGTCACTTGTAACATCGCAAGTCAAGTGACTCAAGTCAAAATGTATTCAAATGAACCGTGACAATCATATTTAAATGTCACTGTCATTCCAACTGATCTAGTCCTTTGGTCAAAGCTTATTCCAGATTATCCAGACTCGATCCGAAAAACCGTAAACAAAGAAAACACTGGGGAAACACTTACCAATTAAAAACTACCCTTTGGATCTAAATGACCAAACGGTTACTTAGGTAGCTTACTGTTATTCGTGAACAGTGACTTAAAATGGCTTGTATAAAAACAGTAACATCACAAAGAAAGAGATAACACAAAATTAGACTTTGGAGGCGTTGTTTGCAATTATGCATTCATGAATATAGGAATTCCAAATTGACACTGAACCCTTTTTGTTGCCTTTTGTTAAGAGGATTAAAAATAATCAAAGGTCTTCAATTCGTAACACTCATTGAAGTAAATTCATGGGAGAATTGTTCATAACATTCTTACCTGTTATCAAAGTGCTTGATCTCTTGCCGTCGTTACGAAGGTGAGTCTGGTCAACTGGTGGCGCGCAACCCTTTTATACGCTACCCGTGTCAGCTCGGTCCAACGGTGATCCCTTTCTCTTCCTACTCGTACTCCCACAGGGTATAAACACGTAATCCTAACCGACGCACTTGGCTTCCCTGGAATTATCTAGAAATATATATTGGCGAAGCTAAGGAAGAAATCAACCCACAAACAGCGACAGAGGGCCCACGCTACGGCCGGAATATTGCGATGCAATGGTCCAATCAATGCGGTTTTTGACCCGCAATGGGCCTACACAGTAAACCAACGCGCATTGTACTAGCGCGCGCAAACGACTTTCGAGTAATTAAATGGCGCTGGCGGTACTGCCGCTGAACTAATAAGTGTACGAGGTTAATAACCACTCAGGCAGGTCTAATGTGGGGAAATTAGAGTTTGTACCGATTTGTCGAAGACAACGAGGCTCGAGTAGCCGTCTTTGTTGTTAAATTACGTCATTATTATTTGACATAAATCACGCTTAATTATCGGTGTGCAAAGCTGGCAGCAACGGGTTGAAAAGCCATTTGCTTAAGTTCAAAGACCTGCGCGAGCTTTGGTGTGAGAGGGAGGATTTACTGGGGAAATCATAACACCTTTCTTGTATCCCTAAAGTGCAATCCAAATAACACATGGGGTATTAAAGGTAATGACCTCACAAAAGCAAAGAAAGGTCACTTAATATTGTCACTGTTTTGTTCTTGTTGATACACCTGTATTCAGTGTAGCTCAGAGATTACCATCGGGCGTCTAAATAAATGAGTGGGGGAAAATGAGTTTGTCTTTATTGCGGGGACGCTAGTCAGACCAGATATCTCACCACAATCTACAATGAAGAGACATAACAAGCCTGGTCCAGATTGTAGCAGATCCCACCCTAGCAGAGCCCACACAATAGAGGAGTTTCAGCACTGAAACCGAGGGCATCAGTGATGTATTTTATTGAGAGGATTTAAAACAAGAAAAGGTCCTCAATTCAAAAGATGGCTTAGCACTGAGAGCCTCGGTTACAATGCTAAGATGTTTTTGAAATGTTTTTATGTGGTTGAAAATCCACAGAGTAAGCTTTCATTTGGTATGTGATAAAGCTCCATAGCCCCTCTCATTCTGGAGATATGACGTATTGCATATTATTTCTCTTGAGTTTGAATTACGCAACTTAGAAAACAGGCTTTGAAATAGCTGGCTATTATATATCTATCAACCAACATGTTTCTGAAATTCGTCTATTATATTCAATTGATTCGGAACTTCCATTCACAAGTATCTTCCTATACGATGGCACTGCCCGGTCTTACAAGTGACAGTCAGTGAGTCAGCCAGTCCGTATGTCAGTCAGGGGTCTACCCGATGTTCCCCTATACCTATGCCCCCCCCCCCAAATCCTCAGGGTTAGATGGTTAGGGTAGGGTTAGGGTTGGGGAACATAGGTATTGGGAATTGGGGAACATAGGTATGCACCCATTATTCAGTGAGGTATATAGAGGACTATAAGCTGTCCCTTGGTACTTGGTTAGTTTCCTCCTGAAACATCCTCTAGGGATCTTTACTAGGAGGTCACGGGAAGGTGTCGGCATCTATGTGTCGGTCACGATGTGGTTATAATAGTTGTCCTTAAATGTCCTGGGGGGAAATGAGTTCTTGAATGCAGTTGAGGATGTTTGTACTATGTTGAATTGGCTGTTGGCCCCGCTGTGGGACAAGCTATTAGGTACAGAGCTGACATCCGGCGGAAACATCTAAGATTCACTCAAACTGAACCACACTTTTTCATGTCAAATAAGTGCACAAAACCAAGTTGGAGGCACTTCCGAACCGCTACGTCGATCAAGTGCACGAATTGTTGTTACAATTTTTTAAACGGGACCGGTAAGCGGTTGTCATCCTTTTTCGACGAAAGCAATATGTGTGGTGGTATGAAACACTAAGGACGTAATCAGGATGGACAAGGAACATTAACAGCTTATAATGTTTCCTGGTCATGCACGAAATCCCGTGAATTTTAAAAACAACGATTTTGTGTTGACAGTGGGTGGCGCTGTCAGAAGACGTACTTAGTGCTGACGTAAAAGTGTTCAAAATGTCAAGTTATTTACGGCACTCTGCAGATGTCTTGCACGTCAACTGTACTTGTACAGAGGTTGGCTGGTACTCCTACGAGATACAACCGTGTTTACTTGAAAACTACTCGAGGGGAACCATCTACGTGCCAAGCGTGCGACAACGCGCAGGCAATCGGCTTGGGCTGGCCACGCATGCGCACGCACCACTGGACCGTGGTCGCCATTTTTTTAATCATGACACTGACCCGTAATTAAAGAACAAAAATTAGTGATTGATTTGTAATCGGCTTCCCCTGGCGCGGACCACGCTTCGTAAAATTTTATGCCCCGTGACGATTCCGACGTTGCCAGTTATTACTGTCTTTGTTCGGAGTTTATGAATGGTGAAATTTCAGGAGAGGATTTCAGGCACCAAATCACAAAAAGACGGCTCCGTTCAGGTGTGAGGAAGCTCCGTTGTGCTTTGATGACAGAGACTCGGAATTATATTCTTTCAGAGAGTCGCTCAGTCTTGTAGTTTTAAGTGAGCTTTGGAAATAACTTTTTGGGAAGGTTGCAGAGGTTGTGTCCTGGCGCCGTTCTGCCACGGCGTGTTTTTTCTTCAGTCACTGAGTTCTTTATTTTGAATGTAGACCTAAGTAATGTTTCATTAATAAATAAACCATTATTTTGCATTTATTCAACGGAAATCTGACAAATGCAATGGAGAAAAATTGTGCCCTGGCATCCTCCCCTCTCCTCCCTTTCTCACCAAAACCGTTTGTTTGTATTATGCTACTGTCATTTATAAGATGATATAAATCAATATCAGGTGCTGCCCTTCACTGACGTATAAACACTGTATACTCAGTGTGTTACCCAAGTGAAAGTTGGAAAAATTCACTCTGGTGGTACTCGAAGCCACGACCTAATGCTTTCCAGTGCAGACGTTTTACCACTCGACCACCGAGCTTGCGGGATCAGTTGGCTGGTTCGAATCTGATGTACATGTATAAACCGCGGGTACCGCCATTAAACTTTTCATATGGTGAAATCAGCGTCGGGGTGATGTAAATCAATATTAGATTTTACCCTTTTTTTCATTTTTCACTCGGAGAGGTAACAAACTGAGTATACAGTGTTTATACGTCGGTGAAGGGAAAACCTCATATTGATATGTTACTCCCGTTATTTATTTTCAAAAAGTGGCAATGTTGCACAATTATCATGAAAATTTGATATGCCTTCGTCTCAGTCGTTAATCTACCTTATTATTTGCCCCATTCTCTGAACATCATTGTAGTAATACTAGTCTTCTTTGTTTTTCTTACGATGCAAGCTTGTCCAATTTCAAGTTGGGCTCTCGTAGAATACTGGCTCCTTGTTTTCTCAAGGAGTTTCAGCCCATGTATCCTGCTTACATTTAGGCTAGTATTATGGTCCCAGACCATTTGGATCTAAGAGGTCTATTTGTGGTCATCTGAGTAATGTTTGTGGGTTAATGTGAGATTGAAACTAGTCTAATCTACAATGACAGTCAGTCAACGAGTCAGTGAGTCGGTCACTATGATAAGTGCAAACAGGACAGCAGGCTTTCCCTCAAATAGTTGGGCCAGGGTGTGGCTTAATTCATCACCCGTATTCATGATTCGCATTCGCTAGTATTATCTGGTTTCATTTTTGTTCAAGTTATTTTTTGTGGATCCCAGATAGCCACCGTACCTATATATCTTTGTACCTAAATCTCGTTGTACTACCTATATCTCGTTGGTCGTATCTCGCTGACTGATTGACTCATAAACTAACTGTCACTTGAGAAGTACAGGTTTTTAATGTCCTACTTTTCCCCTTCTGATTGTGTTGATAATCAATGAGCAATCTCCTACCCAGGACCTCCACTTCCCCTCACTATAAATAAATGACCAGCTGAATTTATTTTCATTCGGTTCTGGAAGACTTGACACCCGACTGTCTCGTGGGAAGAAGCGATACACCAGACCCGCACGGACATATTAATTAGTTCGTGTGTTGGTGCGTATGCATAGGCACTGATGGTTCGACTTACTCGTGACTAAGCCAACACAATGTAGACCTACGTGAGTAGAGTGGTATAGCTACTTGAACTTGTATGAAGTGTGATGGTTGATAAAACGAGGGTTGTTGGTTCTTCCGGTTTCTGAGCTCCATCGGAGCATTAACGAAGTTTTTTTTCTTTCCTTGGTAAGATCCAAAAATTCCATCTTATAAAAGATCCCAGACTTAACTTTTTCGTCAGAAAAAAATCACCCAAAGTCCCAGGCGCAAGGAATGGTTAAAGAAAAGAAACAAAAAATTAAAAATAGTAATTTTCTAAAGAAAGCATTTTGAAATTGATGTATTTGTTCAAATTTCTAGACACGGAGTAAGGGAGGGAGTTTGAAAAATGTCAACATAAAATGGTATGTATACATTTCTCGTGACATGTGATACCAGTGGCATAGCCAAAGGGTGCCTGGGGGGCCAAATTCCAAGTGCCTCTCCAAGTCCCCCCCCCCCTTGCAAAATACAAAAACGAAATTTGTCGCTTGCCAAGGAAGTGTCTTTTGAAATTTTTGAGGATATGAACAGAAGAGGAATGTAGGTGACTACTCGATTTTAATCCCCTTCATTCCCTCAACCCTACAGCTTTATGAAATGTTAGTAAACCTATACGAAAAACAGAGCGCCCTCTAGTGTCAAATGATCGTTGAATAAGTACATCTTGCACAATTTCAAGTCTTCACGAAAGACAGTGGGCCTCTTATAGGGGGTTTGCTATGGCGTGCAAATTTAACATTTAATCTATTTTTAATGGAGAAATATTACAAACAAGTATATATCTACTTCAAATATAGAGATGTCTCTATTTCATTGGGGCGATTTTTCCATTCAAAAAGTAATTATCCCTAAAAGCAGTCTTGAAACCTATCGCCATTCTAAAAAATTATCAATCCACTCCATTGCAAAAAAAACAAGTTTGGGTTCTGGGTTCTAAGTTAATCTCCAAATTTCGAAGAAATACAAGAACAAGGACCAATTCAAAGTTTACATTGCTGCAAATCTTCAAGCGCAAGGACAAAAAACTCCATAGTAACATTCAAGGAAAAACTGAGTACAGAGGGCGGTTTTGGGCTGTCCCTCTATTATGATGCATGGGCGAGAGTGGGAATTGAAGGCGAACTCATCAACCGTGTAGCACGCACGCGATGAGACCCATTTAAGCCACGCCGCGCCACGCTTCGTTAACCACGGGCGTGGGTCGGCATTATTTGTGGTACCGAGCGCGAAACAACATTCAATTAAAATGGATCCTAATTACGAAAGAATTTCCTAAGAGCAGACCCGTTCCCCCCACGTTCTGACTTGGATACGGTTTACCGATTTCAACTCCGAAAAAATTACGATAAAAATGCAATAATGAGGTAATGTAATATGCTGTTATTCCGGAAGGAACAACGGCTTCCCGCTTTTTTTTTATTTGTTACCAAAACTGTACAAATTCTGCGTTTTCACCACAGATAATCAATCAAGATGATGTCTTTATCCGGTGTGGGATTACAAACGCCAAGGGAAATCAAGAACGAATTCCCCGTGGCCATTACAAGATGAAGACATCGTTGGCCGTATATAAAATGCCAGTCATTTTTAATGCGCCGCGATCATTTCTGATATCTTACCAGCGGTAGGTGCTTGGGGTACGCGCAACCTGAAGCAGAGCAACAGTTCAAGTAAGTTGATCTTTTAAAATCTTTCTTAATGGTAATTGCTTTTTTTACTTGCCGTTTTCACTGTGTGATTTCGGCCCAGTCTCTTGTCTCATGGCTGGGATTGACGCTGTTTCTAGTATGCTTGAACTCAGATCATTATTAAGGGGGAAAGTACGGAACATGTAAGGAATTCCAAAACGAGGCAGAGCAAGAATTATGCCGGTCACAGAATTCCAGTGTCAAATGTTTTATTTCTATACCTATCCCATTGACTGACTCACTGAGCTCTTGTCACTTGACACTTAGACTGGAGGTAGGCAAGGGAACATAGCCGGGCAGTGCTATTGTATAGGATTACCCCGTCAACCAATGGATGGCCTAAATTCTCCCCAATATGTAGACCAGATGCATGATATTGTGTTGGGTCATTCTCCCTGTTTTATAATTACCACATTGGTAAAATTTTGTGATTATTTCTTAACATTTTCTGCCCTGTTAATGATCCAAAACAGATTCATTCAAAATAGACGCCCGTCCGAACAATCCAGAATTCTTAGCCGTGTGTTCAAATGATACGAAGGGTGAATAAAATCTTCCTGTAATTTATTGATGTCATTACCGATTAAAACTTGTGTTTCCTGTTTCAAAAAAATAAGTTAGAAGGCTTTTGGAAATTGTGGCTTCTTAATTATTTTCGCCAGTAGCATTCAGCAATTGCAGATATATTTCGTTTGATTTTTTAACACAGATGGATCACAAAATAACTTTGTTAGCTTGTTTCGTCGTCATGGCAATTCTCTTAGCGCCCTCTACAGCCAAGGAGAATTCAGCAGACGCATTGAAAGAATACCTTAACATTTCAATGGGTAGGAGTGTAGACAAACGTGGAACCGGGAACCAGCGGTTTAAAGGTAAGACCTTTTTGAGATTCTGTTTAAATAGGTGTTAGAGGAATGTACACATCTGTTAACCTTGTTTTACAGGCTTGCAGTGATTTCTAGATGCCTCCCATTTACCGTCAAAGTGCAAACAAAAGAAAAAAAAACATTTGAGAGCAACCGTTGGGTGAACTGTGTCTTGAACCTGTACGAAACCCCAATAACCCCAGCGCTAATATTGATGTCATACGTCATCGTAAAACCCATCTCCTGGCACCCTGCGGTACTTCGCGGAACGCGTGGGTGCTGCTAACCAGCGATGGAACCAACCCTCCGTAGGCTGGTTCCGGTCTGTCGGCTGACCCGGTGTGGTATCTTACGAATATAAAGCCCAAAACCAGTGGCCGAATTGAAGTCTCCGTGATAGTTTAATACGCGCCGTCAGATCAGAGAAACATCAAGAATTTATATTTTCATTTTTCCATCCGCGACGTTTCCTGAGCTGAAATTGCACCTATTTAGTAGGAAGTACTTACATTAGGAGGTTATCCTAAACTTCAGTTCGGCCACTGGTTTCGGGCCATATATATATATATAAGATCCTTACTCAAAATACAATGAGACGTGACATACCTACAATGTTGATTGATATTTCAGGAAATTTGAGCTATTCATCCATTTACAAGATTGCCAATCTGCTGTAACTTTGCGCGAGTCACTCGTTCACCGCAAACACTACTTACGCCGCCAGGCTATGTTTGTTGGCTTCATATGCCTCGCTTTGGTTTTCAAGATGGCGAACCCTGATCAAGGTCTATTGCTGTGCCTCTTTTGCCATTCGATTTTGTTCTAAAACTAGCCCATAAATCACTGCTGAAAACAAAGCTCAAGAGTAATCATCATGAAACTAACATCAACGCACCTTAATACACACTGAAAAAGTGCGATTTGGTTCAGGCATTTTGGGGCTCAGTTACTCAAGGCTGCTTTTTAAATTGTGAACTTTGACCCGTTATATTTGCAGCCTGTAGGCATCCTCTGTACGGCAGAGCATTCAACTGCCGATGTGACGTCACGAAAAGTGCTCGCGATCCACGGTACATGCGGTGTGTCATGCCCGATTCCGAAGTCTAAAAAGGTAACTCGCAATCAGCTTACTTTTGATAAAAAAAAATTGGTCCAAAGTCGTAGCCTTTCAAACCTTTGAGATTGTTTTCAACACCTTGTTTTCAACATCTTTAAATATTGGATAATATCTACATCATAACGTTGATACTTTGTAACTCTGATGCAGAATATGTATCAAGAAACGTTCTTTGTTTTACATTCTTCCCCAAACAGGATAATGCGAGTGGCACCTGAAAGTTTCTACGCTACCGTTTTCTCAGCTTCAATAAAATGATGTCGCGCTGATTTTTAAATCAGATTTTCTAAATAAAAGCCCTTTGAAATCAACTTTATAAAGGCTTTTGCTTGGATATTTCCACACGCAGCTCCTTATACTTCCGTCCATTACAATAACTCATGGACGGATCTCTGGTTATAATGTAGTCTGCCTAACGTGGTGCACTTCGACGTTGTTTTTTTATGCAGTGTTGTCAACCTCTTTGTTGACAAACTTTGTATTCATTCAGTAATAAATACTGGTATTTTTACCATAAAAAATGCTTGCTTTTTAACCTTTGTGAACAATTTTAGCGTCATGAAATTTAGTCTGGAATTCAAACATTTTGGCGTCTGAAAATGGAGCTCATAATTGGCCAAGAGTTTCATAACGTGGCGCACTTGAACAAATCTCAAAATACGTTCCAACTTAACATTTAAGAATTTCCTTTAAGTTGACATATTCTGATGAACCATTATTATTTTCACTCTTATACTCTACTACAAGTTTGTCGGACATTTTTTTCTTATTTTTGGGCGCATTTTTCAAGGGTTCATTGGGCACTTCAAACTAAAACCGGAAAATCACGCCAAAATTAATTTCTGTGTTAACTTTAAACGGGTGGGTAAACTCAAGATTTATGAACGGGAATGCTTGGAGCTTGATGAGATTTTTACTTACTGTGAAATTTGAGGTAAAACATTTGCTCTAGCTTGGCACTAAAGGACGAGAAATCAAAGTGCGCCACGTTAAGGGGCCGCGCCACGTTAAGGGGCATCAACAGTTTTATAAAGAGAAATCCGTCCTTGTTTTTTCCTTGTTTTGAGAAATTGCAATTGTTTCAGCAAATGAGGGCGCTGGGGACGCATTTGCCTGGGTACAATGAATACATAATAATGTGTATTAAACCCTTTTTCGTTTTACTGAAATCTAAATGTTAAACAATGTAAAATCATATTGTAAAACGTTATTCCAACATGGAAACCTACATCAATAACCTGGGTTTCATGTCTGATTGTACCCGCCGGTCAAAATGACGTCTTTGTTGTGCCCCCTAAGTTCGCTAAAATTATGACTTTGTTATTTTGTGACTTGAGAACTTGCCAAGTACACCGCCCTTTGTTTTAAATAACTGCCTTAATAATTCGGTCTTATTGTTTAGATTTTAATGATTATAGAGATGAATATTTTGATAATCGAGATGATTTTTGATGGGGGTTTTACTAAGGTGAATAAAATGGAATTAGCATTATGGTCTATTCATCATATTTCAAAGTTGTAATTCTTAGGTAATGCCTAAGCTAAATGAAGCATGATGCAGCAAATATGGTTAACATTACTGAAAATGTGCAGGGGGTGTTTTTGTTAGGCTCATTTATTTAAAAATGGGAAGTGCTTCAGGGGCGGATCAAGGTTTTTTGCAGGGGGAGTTTTCATCAGTAAATCAATGCTGAAATGTAGACAGGTGTTTTGTCCAGACACTTGGCTCCGCAAAATCAATAGGTGGGTGTGGGGGGGGGGGGGGGGGGGGGCTCGTACCATACTTTCAATGGGGGCGCTTTTCAAATCCGACGATTATTAACACTATATTATAGGATAGTGTACAAATAAATCCAGCAGGCTCTGTCTGTATTTTGTGCACAGGCTTATATTAATACCAGTATAATCGTTTTTGTGTGTCAGAGCAGGGATGGGGGTAGCATTATTTTTGTATGAATTTCTATGGGAACAAAACAAATTTTTAAAAGAGCTGGGGCTGGTATTTTTTTTAACCCTCCCCCCCCCCTCCGGATCCGCGCCTGTGCTTTTCAGAGCGAATTAAATTTGCTTTACAGTAAACCATTTAAAATCTCTGTGGTGACTTGTTTAAAGACTGGAGTCAGTTGTGTGTTGTTGTGACTAGGAACCCAGACCGTGTCAATTGTGCCGAAACTGTCCACTTCAAGTTGCCTTAATATGTCAATAAGTGGGCCCCTTTTTGTAACCACAACGCATCACGGTTTCCTGAAATTGGAAATTAATAAATTGTGCAATATATTGTAAGTTTATTCAGCGGTTTCGAGCGCGCTTGGGGTCTGTGTAGGTTAAGGGCCCCGAGGATTGTGCAGTTTAGACGGATGGTTAATTAGATACAAGTGGAAGTGTAGGGATGTTATTGCACTCCAAATAATCTCGTGTCGCATTTGACCAGAAATCCTGGTTTCAATACTTTTCAGGGTAAAAAAGGACATTTTCTGGGTCAAAATGACTTTTTTTCTATCATTTTCCGGGTCATTATTGACTCCGAAACCTGAGCAAAATTGTGATTTTCACCCGGAAAAGAGTCAGCTTACCGCTTTCGAGCGAATTAGCCTGTGTTTTGCAACTGCAGCGTCGGTTTACCTATGCATACCATTTCTTGTCACGGGAGGACATTGCTAACATAGGCAGATTTACAGATGTTCATCAACGCATGTTTTAGTGTCGCCAAAAAGCTCCGACCTTTATTGGAAAGCTGAAGTGTTAATGGGACCACATTGAATAATAGCAATGCGTGATGTAGGTAATTATTGCATTGGTTATTATTGGTACGATTCTATTTCAATCTAATGTGTCGTAAGGAAAAATATTTTAAAAATTCAAAATGGGAAACAAATTCACCGTTTCTATTTTAAAGTGGCGCAAAATTTAACTTTGAGCTTTGTTGCGGTGAACAATGAGTTCAACAAGTCTACAAAGTCGGTCCTCGTTTTTCAGCTTTAAACGAAGTTTTTGTTTGGAGTCTATAGTTTAAAGCCCAATATCATAATCCTCAAATCACTATTTCTACTTTGAGTCTGAGCACACCTGAGTTTCACAGAGTATGTATACGTATTCAACAGTGGACCTTGAACAATAGAGTAAAACAGGATTCACGATTGCGTGAATGTACACAGTTTAAAATCATGTAAAAGAAAACAATAGGGATTCTTGAACAGTTACCTTGAACAATCGAGGACAATCTGCTCCACAATTGTGTGTAGGTTGAAAGATAAAACTATGTTAAAAACCCATTGTGTTCCTTTCCAGGTGACCTCGAACAAAAGGAGATAATGAGAACCACGTTTAGTTGAAGGTCCTCTGTTTGAAATCATGTACAAAACTAATGAGGGTCTTCCAAAAAGTCTGAACAGTTGGACAATACGAGGTCCATAACTGAAGGTGCTACACCCTTGTTTATGTTTACAGAAATCAATTGTTCACGTATAGACACCAACAAACAAGCTACATATACAAAGACAAACGAACAGACATGTGACGAGTGTGGACATAATTATAACAGAACGTTAGCTCCGGTGTATCAAAACAAAATGTCCCGCAGTTGCAACCAACCAAGTGGCCACTTGTCAAATGAAATCAGCTCAGCCCACTCAACCAGTCAAAACACCGCCGACTGCGCAGGAAAAACAAAAACGTTAATACCATCTCAAGACGAAGGCGCGATCGTAACAGCGGAACAGGCGTGGGTATATCCAATTAACGCGTTCATATTGCGATATTGAAGCCAATAAAATTTATTGAGATTGACAGGCGAGGAAGGGTTGCTTACCAGCGTTGGGCTTGTTCATACTGGGTGAAAATATATCTTTATTCTCCCAAGAAAGGCAGTTTTGTATACTAAAGAAGACCCAAAACTGGCGGCGACGTCATGAGGGAGTATATTATTACAAGGACGGCAGAAGTGACAACATGCCTCGGACTTACTTGGAGAAAAGTTTTTCACCCAAAAAAGACAGTCCGTCATTAATACAACATAATTCGTTCATCATTATACTGAAAAGCATTAAGTTGCAGTGAATATTTTTATACTCTGCTCGAAGTTAATAAAAGCTAGATACTGAAGTACGTCTATATGTTTGCAAATAAAATCCTCACTTCAAATAAGCAAGCTATTATATAGACCCAAAATATGCCGCTAAATTGTTGATTTTGGCGGTTTTCAAAGCCTTTTCTTACACGTGCCTTTATAAAATAAATTTTTTAAAAAGGACAACTACTTTTTGCAAATTTCTGGTACACTGGAATTGCGTTGGTTTGTTGATATGCCCAGATGGTTTCTGAATGTCACCACAAACAAAAATGTAAGTGGGTAGTAGAATAAAATATAACTCATTTTAATTGAACTTGTGGGTCGGTAACTAAATAGCGTTCTACCACGCGTTAGACTGTCTTGATTAATTGATGCAATAACATGTCATTCAGCTATGTGGGAGTAACCATAGCACAGTGTAAGTGGGGTCGGAATTTATATGTGATTTTGTCGTCTGAATCTGACCTAAGAGTTTGTGCCCTTGAATTTAAACTATGATATTTTGTTGTACATGTATAGTAAATTATAATCTGACCACCATGCGACGGTGGTGACCCCCTCCCTCTTTTGTGTTTGTCATTGTGATCCCAGAATCTCAGGAATTCGTTTGAGATTTCGAGGGGGGGGGGGAGTGTTGGGTAACAATAATCTTGAGTATGTATACGGTACAAGAACACTGGGGGGACCCTCCGTCTCAAATTGTGCACGGTATACCCATCTTAATCTGATAACGAGGAACAAAAGTGATACTGTTGTCTTAATTACAAAAAAAAATTGCTTGTACACTAAAACAAAGGTTTTGTATTAAAAATAAAGAAATAATATACCATCACTGGTTGTTGTTAGACGATACAACATGTTGATATGTGCGGGTGGCAACCTTTTTTTAGCACGAGCAGCACATAATACTCGAAGTTGCTATAAATGTTTTGGCAGTCTTTTACACGTAATTGCACCGAGTCTCATTGCTGCCAGTCGAAACTAATGACAAAGGAACGACCCAATGTTTTTCATTCAGAAAACAAATTAATGTTTTCCTCTCAAATAACGCAAGACCCGAAAAGGGGGCTGGAAATGTTGTTTTCGCGGATTAATATCCCACGCATGAGTAGGCTCCATCGACCATGCGTAGCTTAGCGTCACTGGCTATAAACATCTCAATCTCCGCGGAGATGTTCAGACACACTTTTAAGAAACTTCGTGAAAACATCTGAATTCATCGACGACACAGCATCAGGATAAAGGTAAGGTCTATATTATCCGGGGTTGTTCTAGATTTAGATTTAGATATAGATTATAAGCTGTCAAGTTATAATAATTATTTTGTCTGTGGTTTTTTTTCTAGAATTAATAATGCACACTGAAATGGCTCTATACATCATCAGTTATAATCATGCTTGACAAACCCTGACTATTAAATTCGAGAGATCGTGAAAATGACAACTTCATTGCAAAGAAAATGAGTCTTTGCACTCGCATTCAATTTTTGATGTGTTGATTTTTTTTTCACTTTAATTGCAACTGTTTTTCATGAGATCCCACGATTACCAAAAAACAGGATCATATTTGCTTCATTAATATCGTTAACATGCGAAGACATTGAAGGTAATACCCTCATGCAAATCTGAGATTCTTCGTCTTAAGTTCCTTCTTCACATTTCAAAGGTCTTGATCTTTAAAGCCAAGACAAGATGATCGAAGCAATGGTTTAATGGAAGCTAAACATTGACTTTTCACACGTATAAGCGTTTCCAGAAGTAAAAGCAGAATCCGTTATCGGAAAACATACTCTAGAGACTGTTTCACCGATGCATTTTTCATGAATTGCGCGAAGGCGATCGGTGGAGAGTCTATTTTGACCGGCATGACTATGAAAACAACGTTATTTTAATAGCACAAGGCTTTATAAAATCATTAATTTTTTTTTACAGGGAATCACAGCATGAATTGTGCAGCTCTTGGAATTACGGTCCTGATCATCGCCATGGCGATCTCAGCCAATGGCGAACTACTAGGTGATCTTGACTACAGGCCCACCCTCTACGATGACCCCGTGAAACGAGCGGCCGGGGTTTTCGATGCTGGTTATTTGGTCAAGCGTGGGACTGGCATGAGATTTAGAAGTAAGTTGGTCTATGCGCTTGTCGGTTTATCTAAAAAGGTTCAAAGTCAGATTTGACCTGCTGTCCGCGTTCTATTTGACCTAATATTTTGCTGGGTCGAAATGAGAATTTTTGGGTCAAAATTACCCTCTTGCCAAAATGACCTGGAAAATAATCCAGAGTGCAGTGTCATTTTGACTCGGAGTAGTACAATTTTGACCCTGAAAAGTATAGAACAAAATCAGGTCAAATAGGACACAGATTCCGGGTCAATCTGACCCGGAACTTTTTAGAATGTAAAAACACCTGTTCCTAAGCATCAATTTAAAATTGTAAAGTTTCAATGAAAGTATTTTTTTTTGAAATCACATCTTAAGCTAATATTCAATTTGAGGTACACAACAAGTTTGTATACATGTACTTGTTTTCACTGACATTTACAAAGTTACTTTACTTTTCTGCTACCAAACTATAGTTAGGTAGTCTCTGACGAAAACATCCAAGTCATTGGTCTTATAAAATCTGTTTTCTTTCTTGATTCGTATCATCTTTTTCTTTCTTATTTTTTTTTCTAGAATGCGTCAATCCATTCACAAAGGAAAAATGTCACTGCGATCTCTACCGAAAGGGCCCAAAGTACATCCACTGCCGCAAATAAGGTAGAGTTCCTGTTTAAGATTTGTGTCATGAATTATGTTGAACAACAAATAAGATTGAAAAAAATTATCACTTCGGTGCTCATTCTACTTTTTCCACCTGTTTCATTTTTAAATTAGGTGAACGATTGTAGACCAATTATACTTTCAACGTAAAGCGAAAATATAGTCTAAAAGTTAGTTTTCTTCTATTTTACAATAATAATGCTGTAGTTAGTGACCGATTTTAGTTGAAACAGTTTAACATAAACATAACAAATTTACCAAACAAAATACAGAACACATTCAACCTGCTAATATGGATTCAATAGATTTATAGAAAAAATTGTCTGACGTTCATTTTTCTTTATTTTTAGATTTCTTTTGCTGCATTTTAAACCTTTTAACATTTTATATATTACTTTTGGTACCTCAAGACTCTACTGGGAATTCTCTTGTTTTCCATTTCTTGTTCACAGGCTCCAGATGAGAAATCAGTGATCACAAGATATACTGCAGCAACATTCCCATGTGCGTCTGTCGACAGTTCGTAATAAAAGATGCGTTGTGATTTTATCACTGTGGCATCTGTGTTTCCAATATAGCTGTGTCTTAAGTGGCTCAAGTTGGTTGTATGGTGTATTCGTCGGCAAGCAAACTTCTTTTCGTTTTCGTAAAAGCTCCGAAAACGAGAGTCCTTGTTATAACTAAAATGTTTCCTGCGGTTTTTTCAAAAACATTCCTGTCAGAATTTTTGTCAGACTATCGGGACCTGGAACAGTTTTCAGCCCAAACAATTTCCAACCCAACAAGCTCATTTGGTGGTATTATTCCTGGCTGTTTCTTTCGTCAGAGTTAGAAGTACCTTTGTCTTTTTTTCTTCGTTTTTTTTAGTATTATGTGATTTTTTGAGACTTAACCCTAAAGGGGCCGCGGGCGGAATCCGCCTCCCCCCCCCCCGGCTCAACTTTTTCCGCGATAGCCTTGATAAAAAAAAAATGTTTCGCGACCTGAGCTGTTCTGGCTTTTTAGCCTCGAGTCTTGCGCATCTTTTGATACCGAAAACATAAACTTCGGACCACGGCTTGCCGCGCAGCGAAAATATTTCCCCATATACATGTATGTAGTATACACAAAGCAGAATTACCATTCGTGCATATGAATAATTAATCAAATTAACCATAATTCCAAAACCCTTTGGCTTATAGCCGCGAAATTTGTTGGGTATGTTCATAGTAAGTCGTTCTTTGCATAGTTTTATAATTTATCGGCCCTTTTAGGGTTAAAGGTTTGCATGGTGGACATGATCAATGAATGGGAGGTTTGCGGTAACACCATGTGAATGATATCTCTTATAGTGAGTTGTGTGGTTCTGAGAAGAACCAGTTGATTTAACTCGACGTTTCGAACAGTATGCTCTATTCGTCATTGATAATGACGAACCTGATGACGAGCAGAGCATGCTGTTCGAAACGTCGAGTCAAACCAACTGGTTCTTCTCAGAAACACACAACTCAAAAGAGATACCATTCACATGGTATTACAGCAAACCTCACATGTATTGTTCAATGTACTTTTTTTGGACAACAGACAGAACAGGCACTCCATATAATTGTAAATCGTGTGAGCGGAATGTCATTGAACGCAAGTTCTTTGACCTGTGAAATGGTAAAGACTTCCGGCAGGTGTTAGTAATAAATACTACTAAAAATATTGAATATGACTTCCATTTTTCATTATTATGTTGTATGGTCTGTAGCAAATGCCTGTTTAAAGGGAATATACATCATTTGCTTTTGCTGTAATTTTCAGAAATGGATGGAATTGGGGGGTTGGAAATATATAGCAAATATAGTTACAGAGACTTTTTTGAGGTTTTGGGTTCGAAAATGCTATAAAAATCAAGAAAAACGATCATTTTCCTGTAGTCTGGTTCCCTGACCCCATATAAGAAGAAACAGAGCAGTTTACATACATTGGGGAATTGTAAGGTCAGGGAGCCAGTCTAGCTGGCTCGTACCCGTTCATAGGTTTGTAATCGATTGCAAACAAGTGCGATGGTCAATTGGGGCCAGTATTTGAAGAAAAAAAAAGACAGTTGTTTCCAACGCTGATTGGCCGATCAGCGTTGAAAATTGATTCAAAAATACCACTTTTCTTGAAAATGACAGTATACCAGGTGCCATAATTTTACAGGATGCTTTACACTGTCATTCACTAACAGTCCAGCAAGGTATTTCAAAATGATTTGGTGGTTTTATTTTTTGATGTTTGCAAATGTTGTATTTTCCCTTTAAGAGCTACAACGGGACATCCTTAAAAGGTCGTTGCTGTTAACATGCGTTTTGATGATATTAAACCGTTAAATACTAATATTCTTGATGTGTTTTATTAAATATTATGAAGAATGCACCATGGATGTGGTTAGTGACGATCACCGCCAACGCCAGTAAATGAAGATTTCCCCCGAGTCCCAAGCCCTGCCCCTCATCAACCCCAGTGCCACGCTCCAATAGCTTCGAATTCATAACAATAAAAACAGATTTCAAGCTATAGTTCTTCAGTGGTGTAAATCTGTACAGGCGAGTGGGGGGGGGGGGGTGGTCAGTGGCGGTTCTACGGGGGGAGGGGGGCGGGGGGTTATAGCCCCCTCAAAAAAAGAAAATTGTCTAGCCCCCCAACAAATATTCCATAAAAAAAAAATTGCACTAGCAAAATGTAAGAATGAGAGGTACATGCGAACGGTCTTCCCTAAATAAAATAGTCGTGAGAAGGGTGCATTTGTACACTTTTAGTTAATAATAGTATGCCTGATTGTAGGATTTTATCAGCGCTCCCCATTGAAAATATGGCAGGAGCCCCCCCCCCCCCCCCTCCCCCCCCCCCCCCCCCCCCCCCCCCACCTATTGATTTTCGGAGGCCAAGTGTCTGGAGAAAATAACCGGTCTACATTTCAGCACGCTTCCCTGAAAAAATTCTGGATCCACCCTGCTAGCCCCCCCCCCCAAAAAAAAAATATATATATATATATATTGGCTCTAGAACCGCGCCTGGGGGATGGGGGACGACCAAAATCCAAACATTGCCCGGCCGAGGAATTTGAAAAGCGGGGGGGGGGGTCTCTTCATGATATAGATTAATATCAATATCAATATGTATACTCGCGCTTACATCAAAACGGCGCTTTTGGGGTTTTGGGATGTTCGAAAAATACCTCGAAATCTGCATTTTTGTTCTCATCATGAAACAGTGGGGATCGAGGGATGATTCAATAGTCCATCCCCCCCCCCCCCCGATAAAAAGTGGGCCGGGAATAATACCCCCATCCCCCTGGGATTTACGCCCCTGTAGTCCTTAAACTTGACTATCTACAAAACTCAACTTTGACAATAAGCGAAATCGACAACTCATGTAAGCAAAACAACAGTGGGACAGAATTCTGGAAAAACAAACACGTGATGATGCTGTAAGCTTACCGTTGATTGGATAAGGATCACGTGACGTGTTCAGGGGCGGATCCAGGAATTTTCGCATGGGGGGGGGGTTTCATCGGCAAAAAAATCTGAAAATGTACACAGGGTTTTTTCTCCGGACACTTGGCCTCCGTAAAATCAAAAACTGGGGGAAAGGGGTGGGGGGGCTAGTACCATATTTCAATAGGGGGCGCTGTTCAAATTCGTATTTTAAACAGGCAGACATTATACCAGTATAATTTTTTGTGGGTGTCACAGCAGGGGGGAGGGGTTTTCGACTTATTTTTTTGGAATTTGTATGAAAAAAAAAAATTTGACAGAGCTGGGGGGGTTGACCCCCAAATCCCCCCCGTCTGGATCCGCGCCTGGTGTTTATCATACAAACTAAGGAGAGCTAATACGTGCGCGAGTGAAATACACATCTGGTTCATGGTGAAACAAACAATAACAGACTGTTTAGTGACTACGCTTTGGTCTGCATTCAAAATGGCAGTTATTAGAACAAAACAAGATAAGCCTCAATTATGAAAGGTTTGCGGAAACACCATGTGCGAATAATTTCTCAACTAAGAGAATGGTTCTGAAAAGAACCAGAGGTTGAGAAATTATTCGCACATGGTGTTCCCGCAAACCTTTCATTATTTAGTATCTCCACCATGCAAAGCCTCAAATCTTACTTAAGATAAGCCTCATTTTACGCAAATTGATTGATGACGCTGCGGGAATAGACGTCGGTAACTTTTAATTGAATGCACCAATGGTCTCATTACCGTATATTGCGGGAAACTCGACGGAGGCGGCGCTACTAAGTGGAACAATCGCCGAGTCTCGCGTAAACATCCAATTATTAATTTTTTACCACGCACTTTTTTTCGTTGCTTCTGTTTCCGTCGCGGTACAGTAACATTAATAACTCGCCAAGCGTGCATGTTCAGAAATGTATATAAATCATAGTGTTTGACAGTAGATGTTCACAACATCTTGAAGATCTCGGATTGAACACTTCTACGTCTCCAGGAAAGCTGAACATATACAAGGTAAGAAATCAGAAAACATTTTCTGTTGATAATTTTATCTTGCTTCTTCCCCCATCGTCATCGCCAACGTTTCAATATTTGTGATATACACAAGTGTAGTGCAGATTCTAAAGCTGAAACATCTACGCTCTTAAGAAACGGACGACAAAGGTTACTTCAACAGAGTAGAAAACAGTATTGTTCTTTGATGAAATTTTTTGAAAGTATAAGGATTCATGCTTACCTGGAGATCCAGAAAATTGGTGGGAAGTGAATCGAACCAGATGCAACTCGCCACCGTTTTCACGAAGGGACACACAACCAATCTATTTTGCTTTAGAACATTGTACTGAACCATTTCGACATGCTTCTGTGAGCAAACATCATTTATTTTCAAATTACAATAATGATGCAAGGGGCAGGCATCTCGATAATTGCATTTTGCCTTTTAAACGAAGAGACGCGAAAATGCCTGCCCCTTAAACGCCGACAAAATGTATTGCACGGAAAGGCGAAAAAACTAGGTAAACTGAGAATTTCGTTTTCACGAAGGGACACGCATCTTTGTGTGACTTTCTCAGCTGCGCGCTCGTAAACATGTGCGCGGCCTTCCCTGTGGAAAAACACATTGAACAGAAAGGGTTGCAATGTAGGAAAACTTGAATTTGTGTTTTCACGAAGGGACGCGCATCTTTACTTATTAATTTTGGCTAATTAACCACCGTGCTAATTCTAATTACTGGGTTCACATAAAAAAATCCCCTGTCATAGAATCACGTGAAGATTTTCTAACTGCACAAAGTTGTTGCAAAGTAGTATTTTTTGCAGTTTTAAAAAAGGAAGAACTTCTCTTGCGATTATATCCAAAACGATTTTTCTTCAAAATCCACGTGTGTGGCTCTTCGTGAAAACGGCGACAAACTGCATGCTACTTAAAACACTAACGGGAGTCAGGCTGGCACATCGGTGTACTGTCCTCACCTTCAACCGCTGTGACCCGGCTTCTTATAATGCTTTCAGATCTTAAATCCAACGTCCCTCTAAAAGTTTCTAATTATAAAGCATTTTCGCCTGACAGGTGTACAGCATGAGTGCTAAGTGTCCTTTTTCTCTGGCCCTTTTGGCTTACTTCTGATATTAGTTAAAGTTCCTAAATATACAAATTTTTCAAACAGGTGAACACTATGGGTGCTAAGTGTCTGTTGGCCCTTGTCCTTGTGGCGGCCCTAGTTGCTTTGGCCAGTCCGTATTACATCAACGAAGACTTGGATGACGAGGAGGAGGGAGGCGCGGTGGAGGAGCTTGAGGCTCAGGCCCTGCCGCTATTGCTGCAGAAGCGAGGAAGAGGAATGCGCTACAACCGTGAGTAGGCCGTGCACGTTACATCTGTTTCAATTTGGCGCTCCAGAGTCGGGGCTAACCAGAATTAGGCGAATTTTCAATTTTCCGTTC